TCCACTCGTTTTTTTAATACAATAAAAGCCTTTGTGAAATATCGGTTCAGCTCGTTCTGTTGATCGCAATTCTAAAATAATAATAATAATACGAAGTAGTGGTTGCGACTGCGGCGATGATTTGTAAGAAAGGGTTTGCTCCCCACACCGGAGCTCGCGCTATTCCGCCGACTTTACTTGACACTTGACTGACTCACTCCGCGAGCTCCGGTGTGGGGAGCAAACCCTTTCTTAATAATAATAATAATAATAATAATAATTCAAACAGTAGTTTGGAGGCGGTGGGAAAACAGTTTCGTAATACGTATTCGCATGCAACGACGCAAATCCACACAATTCAGTAGACACTTTTTCTATCAAACGTTTTCTTTCCCTTCTCTTCAGGATAGTACAGGGAATGTTGGAAATTAGAAAAACACATAACTATATAGAGAATGAAAGAAGGAAAAAGTCAACACTTCAACATAGGTGTTAAAAATGATTAAAGTGTTAAAAACTCAAAAACAAACAGCTGCAAGTTGTAGACAAACACGTTGAACACATCAGGGAACACTTGTCACACTTTCACGAGGTGCGACACTAAACAACTGCAACGATAACACATTCTCCTTCTGTACACATAGTTCTGGATCTAGTTTACGAATAATATACAGAGCTTCTAACACAGCAAGATGTAACTTAGACTTTCCACGAGTCAAAATCGAAAAGATATCATCACTATACAACTTACGACAACTAGCACTGCCCGACAAATGACGCTTGATGGACGATGTCCGAGTTTTTAACACTTTAATCATTTTTAACACCTATGTTGAAGTGTTGACTTTTTCTTTCTTTCATTCTCTATATAGTTATGTGTTTTTCTAATTTCCAACATTCCCTGTACTATCCTGAAGAGAAGGGAAAGAAAACGTTTGATAGAAAAAGTGTCTACTGAATTGTGTGGATTTGCGTCGTTGCATGCGAATACGTATTACGAAATAATAATAATAATAATATTTGAAACTCGGGTATTGAGCCAATAATAAAAGTAGAAAGGAAAAGGACATATGGAAACGAGTTAAGAGTAACTCTCCACCACTGTAACTAGATACTATATACAGTCAGAAAGTGCAACAACTAGGCACAAAACTGACAGAGTACTGAGACATTCGACGTCCTGACACCTAGCTTCAACACATCTCCGTAGCGCTAACTGACTTGCCTTCCCCTCTTTGGTCTTTCCATAACCTTGAACCTTCCAAGTTGGAAGGCTGTCGGTTAGCGCTACGGAGATGTGTTGAAGCTAGGTGTCAGGACGTCGAATGTCTCAGTACTCTGTCAGTTTTGTGCCTAGTTGTTGCACTTTCTGACTGTATATAGTATCTAGTTACAGTGGTGGAGAGTTACTCTTAACTCGTTTCCATATGTCCTTTTCCTTTCTACTTTTAATAATAATATTAATAATTAATGCGGCTTGTCCATTCGCCTTCATGCATGACCATTGGGCCTAGTTCCCCGTTTATTGTGCGAATTCAAATAAACCAAACAACCAACCAACCTACCAACCAACAGCTGGAGGCAAGGTAGAGCAGGTGGTGCCGTGAGAAGCTCTGGAGGAAGACGATCCTGATGACTGATGACTGATGAATGGTGATTGTGATGATGACCTTTTGTTTTATCTCGCAAATCCAAACGGGAATTTCTTCCAAATAGCAAGGTAGCGAAGAGATAAAGTATAAGAGAGGGAAGAGGGGGGGGGGGGGGAGGGAGAGGGAAGAGGTGTATGTAGACATGACTTGTTTGTGTATATGTACTGGAATTGTTAGTCAGCTGGAGATCATTCTAAGGATCTAGTGTTCCACCCCTCTCAATGATGGCGGACAGAAATGATCAGGTACCGATTGTCCAGCTCTATGCTGCAAGATCAACACCTGAATCCATGTACATCTCCTTCGTAGAGCAATCAGTGTTTTGAGTAGCTCGAAGGAGTCGGCTGAGGTTCTTTCTCAAAATAGGATACGCCGATAGACCTGCGAACACTGGGCGGGCTTGTCTGATGCAGGGTTCTACCGGCTTACTCACTTGAATTGATGGGATTTCATTTAATATCATTGAGCAGGACTGTAATGTCTACACAGTAGTCAGTAGGTCTACTGCTCCATGAAATCCAGTCACATACACATATCAGCGTCTCAAGTTAGTTTGCTCCTTCCACAGTACTGGGCTGCGAAAGGGTAGAAATCAGTCCTGGGTTCGCAGGAGTGGGACTGAGCAGTTACCGGCGCGCACTCGAGTGACGCTAGACTCGGAGAGGGACTGAGCAGCTACCGGCGCGCACTCGAGTGACGCGACTGTGTTTTCACCAGGCCAGGGAGTCTATGACCAGATGACTCCCAGACGTCGACCCTGGTCTTTCAGTGAGCAGCACAGTCTGTACTGCACTGTACAATGCAATAGGGCTTGAAAGTGATGACGTCAGAAACGGCCTGGGAGTAGTAAATTGACATCAGATTTCTATTTTGGATCCACTAAGGTGTGACTTTGCTATTGCCTCAGTATGTGGGTGCATAGCAACCCACTCATGTCGTATGCAGGTGCAATTTTTACTTCGCCACCAGTTGTCACCCCGCCCCCACTAGCCAAATCAGTCAGTTTCACTGGCAACATCACCTTGCTGTGAGTGAGACCGCTTGAAATGTGCTTGGATCCATACAAAAACTGGATCCAGGTGGATCCAGTTTTCGAATTTTTCAAATTGTTGCTATGCCATTGCTATGGAGTGACGTAGCACTTTCAAGCCCTCATGTGTATTGGTGAGTGTACGTGTGTGTGTCGGTCGTGGCAACGAGGTCAGATCAGCTGAGTCCCAGCACTAATAGTAATACACGGCGCTCACACCCTGTCTGTACCGCGGCTAGTACCCTGGTTCACCGGACCCAAACCGCTTATAGAGCTTGAAAGTGATGACGTCAAAAACGGTCAGGGAGTAGTAAGTTCACATCAGATTTCTATTTTGGATCCAGTAAGGTGTGACTTTGCTATTGCCTCAGTGTGTGGGTGCATAGCAACCCACGCGTCGAATGCAGGTGTGACTTTTTCTTAGCCACCAGTTGTCACCCCACCCCCATAGCCGGCCAACGCAGTCAATTTTACTGGCTAGTAATAACTAGTATCACCTTGCTGTGAGTAAGACCGCTTGAAGTGTGCTTGGATCCATACAAAAACTGGATCTAGATCCAGTTTTTGAATTTTTGAAATTGTTGCTATGCTGTGACGTAGCACTTTCAAGCCCTTGTCTATACTCAGCCTAGACTAGTACTAGTCGGGTTCACACCTTGCACCGCGGCTAGCGCCGCCGCCCGGGTTCACTGAACAGTCAGTGCTTGTTGTACTTGTACTTGTAGCGCTACAAAAAAAGTTGTAGCCTTGTCAGGCTTGAGTAGTTCTAGTCTAGATCTACAAGTCGACAGATTACGTACACACTGCCACCACTATGTACCAGCTAGCTGCATGCTGGTGCAGGATAGGCACAGGCAAGCAGTGCAAGGCGAACAGACCAGTGCTTCGAGCTTCATTGGAAAGCAATGAAATTATTTTGCTGCGTTTGGACAGTGATGTTGTCAGCGAGCAGGCACTGAGCGTTGACCAGGTTGGCTTTGCTGAGAGACGAGCTTACAAAGTTACATCCGCTACTCCGCAGAATGATGGTTTCGCCCTGTGCACGATTGTGGGCGAGGAATACTCCAATAGCAATGTCGGTTCTGCAGGAACAGAGAATGCACCTCGGCTTGAAACGTTCGCGAGACGTCTGGCATTCACCTGAAGGCTGAACATAATTATTATGGAGAGAGAATCAGGTGGCTTGAGCACAATTTGCCGCGAGCGCTCCGCGGAGCCGCGGACCGCCTGAAGCGGACAAGAAGGGACTGACGGCACTTGGAGCGTGTGGTCGTCAGCGAAAGCATCTTGGAAGGAAGGTATGCCTCATGCCTCTGTTGGCGGTTGGGACTGCGATAAATCTCGGCGGCACGGCCACTATAGAATCTCGACAAGAAATTCACTCTTGTACATGTACGGGCGGCGAGGCAAGAGTCGGGACATGCCTGTAGACTCGGGACATGCCGGTAGGTACTAGGTAGGTCTACGCATCCTGGCCACCCCTGCCTTGCATTGCAGCCCCATTCAGCCAATCTCTTGTCAGTCTTTTGTTTTTGTCAATCCTATTTCTTTCTTGTACGTGTTTTCAAGTAAAACACGAAATAAATAAAAGGCTACGAGGGTGTGTGTGTGGGGGGGGGGGGGGAGGGCATGTGTGCGGGGTGTGTGTGTGTGGGGGGGGGGGGGGGGGTGCACACACAGGCACACACACACACACAAACCTACACACACATACACACACACACACGCACCTAATATTTGTTGACTTACAGTAGCCTGTGCATGCATACGCCCAGCCATGACCAGTAATACTGTTACCCTGTGTTTACCAGCCATGACCATGTTCTCTGGAGATCATTGTGGCGTTTCAAGTTCTTCTGAGCATGTGTGCTGTGAACCCCCTGTTAGGAGCAAGTGATGGTATGTGTGTGTATGTGTGTATGTATGTGTTTGTGGATGCGGAAAACTCGGCTTCCAGCCGAGTCTCACGTGAAATTTCTACTCCGTGTGTTGTAGACCAGGTGTGAATTGACGGTCGATTCACATGGCTTCGCCAGTTGTGAGGATTAGACAGTTATCTGGCGCAAGTCTTGATCTGTCTCATTCAGATCTTGTACGCTATTGTTGCTATATGAGAAGATCTGTGGGTGCACATCCAGTGCATTTGCAGATTTGCGTGCTTCTCTTGCGACGGGCGTATACATGGTACATGGTACATGGTGTATGTACCATTTCGCTATTGCTCAGCTCGCACGCTATCATCGCACTAGCGATGGGCGTCCAAAGTCCAAGGTATGTGTGTGTGTGTGGGGGGGGGGGGGGGGTGGTTGTGTGTGTGTGTGTGTGTGTGTGTGCAGGATGGACGACCACCGACTTCCAACGGCAGTGTTGTTCGCGTGGCTCTATGCTCCACGCCCTGCTCATGGCCCCAGATGTTGATGGCGTGATGTGGTATACGATGACCTCAAGGCGTTCGGGCTGTACACCGGTTGGCACGACCTCACATCTGAACGTGGCGAGTGGATCCAGTCCATCTCGGATGCCATTGTTGCACGGCGCTTACGCCTTGATACAAGCAATTCCAAATGAACAGTTTGCATACAGGCGGAACCACAGTACTGAGGACCTTTTAACAGTTGCCATCAATAACTGGCAGAGAAGCATGGATACCGGAGACTATACGACCGTACTGCTGCTTGGTTCGAGCAAAGCCTTAGGCCTCGTTTACACGACAACGATTGAAAAACGTTTTTCAATTGTTTTCCAAACGTTTTTGCTGTTTACACGAAAACGATAATCGTGTACACTGCAACACGTTTTTCGGCGCGCAATGGTCACGTGCAATAAGTTGACCTGGCGCAGGCTGGCGGCGGCATGTTTTGAGTACAAGGCTCGTACTAGTAAAATGTTTTTGCCGTTTACACGAAAACGATTGAAAACACTTTGAAGCCGTTTTTCGTTTGAAACGTTTTTGAAACGTTTTTCAGCGTTGTCGTGTAAACGCTCTTATCAAAATCTGTGGAAGCGTATTCTTTTGAAAGTGTTTTTTGATAAAAACGTTTTTCAATCGTTGTCGTGTAAACGAGGCCTTAGACCGTGTTAACCACCATACGCTAATAGCTTACCTTCACAGCCTGAGGATCCGTGGAAATGCTCTTGAGTGGTTCAAGTCGTATCTGTAGAAGTGAACGAAACCACAAGTGACTGTAGAACTTGTGCTAGGGGCGTTCCCCAGGGTTCCGTCCTAGGCCCTACCTTCTTCAGCATCTACACTCGACTTGTCCCCACTCTGCCATTGTGTTCCCAATGCCTTCTTTCTACTTGTCAGTAGTCCAGAGCAAGCTCGAGTACGCCAGCACTGCCTACGTCCACTGCCTGGCTGACAACGCGAGAGATCAGCTGCTACGCATCAGTAAGAGAGCATTTAGATGCATATTTGAGCGTGACACATGCACGCGCACATCATACTTGCTTGACTCTATTTGTTTGATAGGTACCACATAATAAGCTTAGACAAGAGATATCATACTAAGTCCATATTCTTCGTGTTCCGTTGCATCCACAATATCTGCAGTTCACTCCTCTGTGACATGTTCTCCCTTCGCCGTGCCTGCGCTCACACAGATAGAGTCACCCACGGCCAAGTCAATAATTCCCTTTCTTTACCCATTGTGAAAGCTCAAGCTGAATACAAATCTATTTCATTCCTTGGTGCTGACCGCTGTAATGCGCTTCCCGAATCCCTTCGAAACAATCATATCCCCAATTCATTTCGCCAGGAACTTAACAAATTCATTCATCTTGGGCACCCTGTAAGAAGACCTTAGGGTCTGTTGGGAATGCCCAAGTAAAAAATAAAATACAATACGATACGATACGACAGCCAAGTCAATATGTTGTTTTGCCTGTGACCGACTCTTCGCAAGTGAAAGCGGACTCCGTCAACACAAATGCAGGGAAGAGCGGCTGATGCCGATCTATGAACAGTCCGGTGCTGTGGCCATCGTTGGTTTGCTAGCCGAGGTGGACTTGCCGTGCACAGCTGCTCTCCCAGCCTTGGTGACGCTTCAGTTTCAGAGATAATTGCACCTCGCCCACCTGATTGCAGCCAATGTCAGTACCACTGCCAAACCTGTGAACGCTGTTTCCGGAGCAAAGCACCATCGGCACAACTGCAACCGCAGAACATGAAGCTCTGGCTCCGATCGTCGTACAATACTATGCCCGACCTGCTCTCGGAAGTTCACACGTCCTCAGTAACTGGCTCAACACAAATGCAAGAAGTAACTCTGCCCTCCTTGCCTCTTTGAGGCACGGCATCACCTTTAGGTGGCAGTTTCAAGGTTCAAGGTGTGTCCATGCATGTGTGTGTGTGTTTTTGTGTGTGTGTGTGTGTGTGTGTGTGTGTGTGTGTATGTGTGTGTGTGTGTGTGTGTGTGTGCGTGTGTGTGTTTGTGTGTGTGTGTGTGTGTGTGTGTGTGTGTGTGTGTGTGTGTGTGTGGCCCATATGGTGCAGTGGTATGTGCAGTCGATTTCCAATCGAGAGGTTGCGGGTTCAATTCCCGACGATTATGGTCGCACACGTCTTTCTTCTCTTTCTCGGACTCTTCCTGACTTTTCTTTCATTCTCCTGGGTGGTTACCAACAGCCAGTGTATGCCGGAGTATGTGCTGTGGTGTGTGTATAAAAAAATGGAAAAAAATGAAAAATAGGGATTCACTGGCCAGAAAAAGTCACTTCAATCAACTGTGTGGTGGATACCAGGCTAAAAATAGTGGCGGTCAATTCATCAGCCTTGCAAGCTGTTGAATGGTGTAATCCCAGCACAAGTTGCTATGTCTAACATAGCTGTTCGCTGTCATCGCTTCCACGATGGGCAGGTCTGAGGTGTGTGTGTGGTGTGTGTGTGGTGTGTGTGTATGTGTATGTATGTATGTGTGTGTGTGTGTGTGTGGTGTGTGTGTATGTATGCATGCATGTATGTATGTGTGTGTGTGCGTGTCTGTTTGTCTGTCTGTCTGTCTGTGCTTGTGTGTGTGTGTGTGTGTGTGTGTGTGTGTATGTGTGTATGTGTGTATTTTTGAAGCTCTGTATTTTGTGAGATTTGTTCGAGTAGTAGTCACTCTAAACTAACCCCTTTTCCCAGGGAGGATTCTGAGTACCCCAGGGTCGTCCGTGGTGGCCCTGGAGGCGGACACCTGAGATCAAACGGATTGTGGAATTTGCGACGAGACGCCACAGGACAAATTTCTTGATATTGTCACCGTCTCGTCGGCCAGAGTTCCGCCATTCACGGAGGGCTAGCTACCCCCTGAATGTCGTGCGCAAGCTAGAAAGCAAGCAGAGTAGAGGAGGAGAGTCAATGCTAAGGGCCGATGTGTCAGGTTCGGCTCGTGGAACGTCCGCACTTTATTGAATACATCTGGTGTGATCGAAACGGTCGTTCGTGGAAACGCATGAAATCGCGGTACTGTCGAGGACAGGAAACTGGACACTGCCATCAGAGAGCTGAGGAAACAAGACATCGAGATAGCTGGTCTTCAGGAGTCCAAATGGTTTGGAACGCATTCATATTTGTTTGGAGGACTGCTCCGTTCTCGCGTCAGGTCGCCAACTCCGAACTTGACTAATTCAAATTCCAATTTCCAGCACGGTGAAGGAGTTTGTCTTGTGCTTCGTGGGCGTCACAGACATGCATTCGAGGCTGGTGGCTTCCAATGGAAATCGGTTTTGTCGCGACTGCTACTGTCCAAACTGAAGTTTTAACATGACGGTCAGCACTGTACTGTGGGTCAATGTAGTTGTGTGCTACGCCCCAACGTTCTGCTCTCCTGCTGCACACAAGGAGACTTTCTTCAGTGATCTACAAGACGTGATTCTGTCTGTACCACGTGACCAATATTTAGTGCTGTTGGGAGATTTCAATGCCCGTGTTGGAGGCGGTCTTACTCCTGGCGATGATGTGTGGCTGGGTGGTGCTCGTGGCCTCCATGGTATTGATACTAGAAACGGGGCTGGCGATATGCTGCTGGAGCTTTTCGCTCAATACAATCTCTCACTATCTGCAACACATGGTTTCGCAAAAAGGATATTCATCTTCAGACGTGGCAGCATCCTCGTTCTAAGACATGGTACTGCATAGATTATAATCATGGTGCGCCGTGCAGACCTGTTGCATTGCGGAGACTGTCGAGTTGTTCGAAGTGCGGAGTGCACCACACATCACCAGCTACTGTCATTGTCGTATGCTTTGCCAGAATCAGTAGTCTTGTCGTCGACATCGACATCGGTATGCTGTCGACTATTTCCACATTGTCCTTGGGTCAGACACAGCGCATCGGAATGCAGTAGTGGCTACTCCCAAAGAGAATCAGAAGCACATCAAATCTGATTTAGCCCACTTGGACACATTGGTCGCTGTTGAATATAAGTGGTCTGCCATCCGTCCGGCCTTCACCAAAGCTGCAGACACTACTGTCGGCAGAGAGTGTCGCCGCCAACCGGACTGGTTTTTGGATAGCCGGGGGACTCTTGAACCACTGCTGCGAGCGTGTAACAGTGCCTACAGCTCCTGGAACTCCTCCAGCCTGCAGTGCCACCACCGCGAGTTTGCGGATGCCCGAGGACGTTTCCGTGCTGCTGTGCGCAGTGACAAGGCAAGTTGGATCTGGAATAAAGCTGAGGAGGTTGAAGCTGGCAAATTCTCAATTTCAGGGGTCGCACTTGTGTACTTAGACATCGCAGCCATTTTTGATTCATCACGCACGCAGCACGTGCGCGGCAGGGTCGTGCAGCCAATCAGAGTTACGGAAAATTCAAAAATATTGCAATATTTGGGCGATTTGTAGAGGGCTCCTTGGCAGCCGTTTATCTAGCGACGGCGTCGAAAATCGCGGGGCTGCTTTGACAGCCTAGTACGCGGACATCTATCGAAAGAAATTTTGAAATCGGTCAAGTAGAAGGGAAATCCGTGTCTAGGGCTTTTTCTGAGCGTTGTCGCCCTGCTTTCCAGTATTCTGACAGTAAATCTATGTCGTTGAGGAAAAGATTGATTCCGTGGATTTACGGAGAAGATTCTACAAAATGTAATAAAGAAAATGAGCCCTCGATCATCGAAATCGGAGAAGAGATGGCTGCCAAGGAACATTTTGAAGACTGCACTGACGGCCCGGCACTCGCCGCTCGCGCGATTGCGCAGTGTCGGAAAGTCTTTGGACTACCTTCGAGTTTATTTGGTGCGCGGATGGGATCAGAATGATCTGCCTGCTGCAACGCCTTGCCCTATGTCTTTGTTTTGGAACAATGTTCATGTACATTCATTGCTTTCGTTCTCCAACTCGGCGATGCCGCGTTGCTGGACCATGAAGACTCCAAGACCAACTCAAGCCGACACCGTGCGATTGTGATGTTTGTGTCACATGTATCATACAAGTGCAGTCCGTGCAGTACGAAAAGTACCGATACGAGTGACATAAAACAAGGAAACCATACCGTCAGTAAGTCCCGATAGGATCGCTTTCCGTAGCAGGTGTACTCGTTGCTGGAATACTCCTTGCGGATCGAAGCAACTTTGCAAACAGAACCTCTTCCTCCTGAGAAATATTCCACTCGCATGATTCCCACGGTCGTTGTTCTGAGTATTGACACGCGAACTCAAAGCGGGAATACTTGCACGCAAGCCTTAGACTTACACTTACCAGTATGTTTGCTGTTGTGACTTACAACTAAATGGAAGTCTATTTTGAAAGGAGAACGGGGAAAGAGAACATCGCCGTGTCAAAACAAGAACGGTGTCAGTGAAGAAGAAACTCTGTTCACAGAAATCTGCAGCTCTCGATCGTAGCTTTGTTGTGCTTGTACAGACTACAGTTTCTGTATGCAAACAATTGACAATGCATTGAGAACCACACACGTCATCCAAAAAACAATGCATTGAGAACCACACACGTCATCCAAAAAACAATGCATTGAGAACCACACACGTCATCCAAAAAACAATGCATTGAGAACCACACACGTCATCCAAAAAACAATGCATTGAGAACCACACACGTCATCCAAAAAACAATGCATTGAGAACCACACACGTGGTCCAAAAGAGCACGCATCACGCACGCAGTCAAAAGCAAGATGGCCGCGATGTCGAGAGCCGATCATGATCCCAAGTGCGACCTCTAAAATTTCCTCCATCCGTGCTACCCAGCAATGTCACGCTGGTCTACAGCCTGTCTTGTGCACTACTGTCAAGGATGCAAATGGCAACGTCTGTGCTTCTCTGGATTCACAGCGTACCCGATGGCAGGAACACTTTGATGGAATCCTCAACATCGCAAGTCAGTTCAATCATGCAATTCTCAGACAGATTCGGCAACGCGATGTAGACACCAGCCTTGCACGACCACCAACTCTGGAGAAACTGCATGCTGCCCTCAAGTCGCTGTCCAACGGCAAAGGCGGGGGGGGGGGGGGTTATCTGTCATCGTTCCTGAACTGCTCAAGAATGGTGGGTCTGTCCTTGACGTCTGCATCCTCGACCTCTTCCAAGACGTCTCGGCAGCATCGTCTGTGCCCCAGGACTGGCACAATGCGGAACTTGTTCCCATCCCTAGAAAGGGCGATTTGTCAAAGTGTGACAAGTGGTGTGGGATATCATTGCTAGATGTTGTTGGCAAGCTGCTTGGTCGCCTGTTACAAAACCGCCTGCAGTTGATTGCGAACCGTGAGCTTCCTGAATGTCAGTGTGGGTTTCGAGCAGATCGCGGCTGTGTGGATGCTGTCTTCTCCGTACGCCAACTTGTAGAGAAGTCGTTTGAACACCGGCAGCAGACATTCTGCATCTTTGTGGACCTCCGCAAAGCGGGCGATTCGGTTCCTCGGCAAGCCCTGTGGCAAGCTCTGCTAAAGCTTGGTGTACCTCCCAGCCTCGTCTCCCTCATTGAGTCCTTCCATACCAACATGAAGGCTACCGTACGAGTAGCTGGTGAGTCCTCTGGTACGATCTACGTGCGGAATGGTTGGCGTGAGACTTTGGCTGAGCGTGACATCGATGCTGGTGTGTCCTTCCGTGATGTCGATGGTAACCTTTTCCCGCGTTCTGCTCGACGAGCACAGTCGACGGTGGCTACAGACTTCGAATATGCTGATGATGCTGTGCTACTTGCATCTTCTCGCCGTGCTACTGAGGGTTGTCTAGTTGTTTTCTATGACGTAGCGGCTTCGTTTGGTCTGTCCGTTCAGCATCCCAAAAACAAAGTTTATCGTTGCACGTCATTTTGCTTCTGAGGCGGATTGTGCTCGCATCCAGGTTGCTGGCGACCAAGTCGAATGTGTACCGTCTTTTGTATATCTCGAAAGCGTCATCACACCTGACACCAGATCCCGTCATGACGTCGCTCGTCGCATTGCTAACGGCGCTAAGGCATTTGGTGCATTGTTGGAGGTGTGGTGTTTTCGTGATTCCACATTGTCTCTGTCCACCAAGAGACAGTTGTATTCTGCCTGTGTAGTGTCCATACTGCTGCACGGTGCTGAATGGTGGACCCCACTCCAAGCCGATTTTAGGCGTATAGACACTTTTCACCATCGATGCTTGTGGGCTATCATTGGTGTGTCCAGAACCGCTTAGTGGAAGGAGCACATCACCTCTCAGCAGCTGCCGGATCGCTGGGGAGATCCCATTGCGCTATCAGAGAAGATCCGGCATTGGTGCCTGGAAAGGCTTGGTCACGTTGTACGCCTTGAACCTGAACGTGTGCAGCAACAGCTCCTGTTAGAGTCCCTGGAAACAAGCCGGCCTGCCCATGGTCCTCGTCGGCGGTGGAAGGACGTGTTGCGTGGTGACCTCCAATGTCTTCCAAACTGGTTTGACTCTGCCTCGGAGAGGTCTGAATGGCGCCAGTTTGTGCATGCACCACCTTCACCGAAGCAAGCACCTGCTTGCGTGGAATGCACCATATGCCGCAGTACGTGGCCCGTCATAAGTGTACCGCTGAGAAGAGGATGCCTATCCATCTTCAGCGTGGTGCACTCCAATGCGATATCTGCAGCAGATGTTCTGCCAGCGCTGGAGGCCGTGCTGTCCACAGGTGCACCCGTAGTACGATCAGCACCCAAGCTTGCCCGCCCCTGTCCAGTCAAGAGTCGTTTCTCCTGGACAGTTGCAAACTTCAATGCTCAATGTGTCAACGCCAGTTTTCGCCATCCAGTTTCAAACGGCACAAATGCAGCCATGGCAGTCACCCTACTTGTAAACAGAGGGAAACCTTCGAATATGAGTGCCGGCTCTGCAACGAACGTTTTCGGCTTCCACGAGATCTCAACCGGCTTGTGGTTCATACTTTGTACTCCATTGCGGCTCATACTTCGGAAAATAGGATGCATTGAGTGTGGTCCGTAACGAGTTAATAGACCCATTGGAGCACAGCATGTTTTCTGTGGTATGCATCTCTGTGTGTGTTTTTTCATTCAGCCTGTCAGCAATACATGCTCAGCAGAACGACCATGGAGCAAACTAGTGAATTTGGCCACCACGGCCGCAGCTGTGGGGCACGGCTTCACAACGTAACCGGCCCGTCGCCGCCGCCGCTACAGACTGGTGACTACCTCCTGTCCATCTGTGATGGTAAGTAAGTAAGTAAGGTTCCCGGTCGAGCTACGTCTCTCTCCCCCCAGCCAGAGTTACCAGCACTCACATCAGTGTCTGCTCCAGAGCCGTGTCAGCCGGGTCAGCGAGCCGTGGGGGGGGGGGGGTGTGGGGGTACTTGGACCTGCTTGGAAAAAGAACACCGGGTTACTTGTGATCCGGTTGGGACGCAATCTGGGAGTCCTTAGACTCTTCGATGTACAAATAGTCGCTCTTGAATGGACCCGGGATTGACCTGGTTGCAAGAGTTGTGCCAGGTACACGTGTACCCGGTTGGTTTGAAATCCTACAGCAGACACTGCACTTCGCACATGTGTGTCAACCTGGTCGACGGTCCATGCAGTGAAAAGCCAGTCTGTGTGCAAAGTACTGCCGTTGAGCGGTGCTCACCAGGTCATGTGACCTGGTCATGTGACCTGGTCATGTGACCTGGTCATGTGACTGAATTTGTGCAGAAAGGGATCATGGAAATGTCTGTGTGCATGGTAGACCCGGGTGCTCGATGGCCGAACACGTGTCCCATTTCCAACCACCTGTATTTTCCTGCTCTTTGATTGTAATCGACTTGAAATTCTGCCTAAGGGGACACTACACTATGATTATGTTCTTCTAGTAGACCAATTTCCAGGGGCCTGCGATAAACAGAAGTCCCATACCACGTGTGTGGGTCTTCAAATATCGTTACGCGCAGTAGGTTTAGTCCTGTCTGCCCACAAAGTGCTCTATGCCCGGAAGACCAAACCTTTCTTGCAAGTAAGGTGGAACAGATTTTCATTGCAGCTAAGAGTTTCATGCTTGCGTGATCATAAGGCAATCATTATTCCGGTATGAAATGGGGAATACCCTGTTTCTATTATACACCCAGGACAGTAAGTGAAGAACTATTGCGTGAGGAGTAGGGAATTTAGTGAAGAACTATTGCACGAGGAATAGGAAAAGTTTTTCAATTTTTCAGGTCGTCTTCAAACTTCTTCATCTCCTCGACTTGAGGTGGACACTTTCGGGTCTTCAGGCCAAACATTTCCTTGCTTCGCACGTCATCAGCTTCATTCCTTTCAAGAAGAGGAATGCTCTCCATCGCATCCATTTGATGACTTTCTCTCCGTCATCACGATCAGCCAGCAGATGGGAGCGAAATATTCTTTAACGAGTAATTCAAATCGACCCGTTTCGTTACAACAGAAAAATTGAGCTACGGTTCATACAGAAATCAACTCTACCACAACTGATTCTCAGCAGATCGGGCGTCAAACAGACCTTCACTCAAACATCAAGAGCCAGCTAAGAGCAGAAATTGACCGAACAAGAAGAAGTTCACGAAGAATCGCCAAACATTGCTGAAAAGCGGACAATCCTGGTACACGTATCTCCTCCATTGTTGTGTTTTCCCTCTGCTTTCACACTGCAGCTACTTCTTCACGCATCCGACTAAAGACGGCTTGCCTTTCGCCAACACACCACCTTTTTGCAAAGTAAACTGGCGGAGGCACACGCCCAATGTATAGTTTCGGTGTATTTCGTTGTAACCGAGGGATAGCAAGTTAGCAATTAAGAGAGATAAGCGTATTATTACGAGGCACCTCCTAGATGGCCGGAGTTAGAGCACTCTCTGCTGACATGAAGAATCAGCAGTCTTGAGAGAAACAGATTGGTTTGAAACGTGGCTTGGTTCAATCAAGCCTGGCCTGGAAACAAGCTTCGAGTCAGATGTTCTCCAAACTATCGGCTGCCTTTGTGAAAACGTGTTCCACACGCCATATGTCCCCAGTTGAGACGAAGCTCGCATCGCAAACTCCTGCCGCAGGTCTGGCCGAGACAAAATAATCAGTCACGCTTGCAAATCTGATACGCTTGGTTCATTCATGCCTTCTTCATTCATGTCTTCTTCAACCACGCCTTCTCACGTGTCCACTTTGCGCCGACATATTCCTCACCGAACAAACCTTTCGAGTCTTTGCACTGCCTAAAGACGGCTTGCCTTTCGCCAACACACCACCCTTTTGCAAAGTAAACTGGCGAAGGCATACGCCAAATGTATCGCTTTGGTGTATTCCGTCGTAACCGAGGGATAGCAAGTAAGCAATTAGGAGAGATAAGCGTATATTTTGAAGCAACTCTTAGCCAGTCGGAGTTAGGGCAATCTCTGCAACACCAACATTTGATGTGAAGAACCAGCAGTTTTGAGAGAAACAGATTGAGTCGAAACGTGGCTTGGTTCAATCAAGCTTGGCCTGGAAACAAACTTCCAATGAGATGTTCTTCAAACTATCGGCTGCCTTTGTGAAAACGTGTTCCACACGCCACATGTCCCCTGTTGAGACGAAGCTCGCATCGGCAAACTCCCGCTGCAGGTCTGGCCAAGACAAAATGATCAATCGCACTTGCACATCTGATACGCTTGGTTCATTCATGCCTTCTTCATTCATGTCTTCTTCAACCATGCCTTCTCACGTGTCCACGTTTGCGTCGACATATTCCTCACCGAACAAGCCTTTTGAGTCTTTGCTTGCTTGCTTGCACTGAGTCGGGAACAGCGTTGCTTGATTGGGCGGTGTATGCAGTGGTTTTGGGGCCACCATGCTACCAGACAGACACACACACACACACGCGCACACGCACACACACACACACGCACACACAAACACACACCATGTGCCACACACACGCATGGATTGCTCAACTGACTAAAAAGCAAAGAAAGGGAAAGGCGGAACCCGCTACCTTTTGTTTTGTGAATAGTCTTGACATGAGCGCGAGTTCAATTTTGTTCGAGTGGAAAGTTCGGCGGCTTCTCTTGTGCTTCCGACGCAGTCGTGAGCCAGTCAAGTGTCCAGTCAGTCGGCAGGAAGCGCGAGCTCTGACGTTCGGAGCAGACACTCACTTTAGCTTTTCGTTTTATTTCGTTTTTTTTACTTGAAACCACGCACAAGACATTGGCTGAATGGCCCTGGGTCTGCAAAGCAAGGTAATGGTGGGTCTGCAAAGCAAGGTAATGGTGGCAGTAGCTGTATACGTACCTACCGTATGTCCCGAGTCTTGCCTCGCCTCTACACATACAGGAATGAATTTCTTGTTGAAATTCCATCTTCGTCGTAGTCGCCGTGCCACCCTGATTTATCGCAGTCTCAACCGCCTAAACTTCTCTCTTCAAGTCCTGTTTGGGGAAGAGCTGATCGTGCTCGCGAGAACAATCAAAACCGTTCAACGTCAGGATCAGCTTTGGATGCCATGACTGCAAGCTAGAGACAAAGGCAGTGGTGGTCTACTGCTAGGTACTGAGGCCAGCGAGGAAGACATTCGGCACTAGATTAAGTGCATTCCCACACGTGTGACGGGATTTCCACTCTCACGTATGCCCTTCAGGAATCAGGACACCATGCAAAGAATGAAGGGAGGAAGAGGGAGAGAGAGACAGACAGAGACAGAGGAAGAGGGAGAGAGAGAGATATGAGGAACGTGTACAGAGCGGAACTTTGCGCCGAGAAAGACAGAAAGACCAGGTACAGTCCAGTTGAACAAGAAGGCAAAGAAGCCAAGAACAGCCAGAGATAACTTGTATTGCTTGAGGTATATTGTGTTGGTAGCGGGATTTTTTCTCCCAGTTCAAGTCCATTAGGCTTGTTGAGGTACTCGCCAGGCACGCGTATCCGCTGTTACATTGCGTATCCGTGAGAGGTCCCTCATATCCGAAAGTCATTCTCCTCTTTGGTTCATATCTTCCTTGATTGTGCCCACAATGATTGCGCGGGGACATCCTCGAGATGCAGCCTAATCACGTCGACAGGCTGTTTCGAAATACGCAGTCGTGGCTTGTTGCGGGGGGAGTGTCACTCGGGAGGCGTAGTGGGGTTCTGGTACATGACTAAAGAGTACTAAAGAGTCTCTGACGCTGGCGCTGGGTCATGCTGCTCTATGGCTCGGTGCTAATGTTGTGGACATGGAAATCCAGTCGAATGACCGGCCGGCGCCCTCAGCGTGCACAGAACGTTGCACGCAGTGTCATGTTGATCCGATGCGACCAGCGCGCTGCAGCGCATGTGTATGTGCCGCTTACCCACGGTGGCATGGCCAGCGCCCTGGGGCCGCTAGACGTGCGACCGGATTTCCATGTCCACGACAGTACATTGCTTGTAAAGCGTGGCGTTAGATATGTACTTAGGGTATCATAATTTGATTATTGCCCCCCCCCCCCCCCACACACCCCTACTTCAGTGAAATCTGTCAAAGCGACCACTCTGATAAGGCAACCACCTGTCCCAGAAGACCACTGCAACCTGGATGAAGGGATGCAATTTCCAGTCAAATGACCCTGGATAAGGAGACCACCTGGTTACAACGATCACACCTTGAAAGTCCCTTGAGCGGTGATCGTCTTAGACAGCTGTTTCACTGTAGTTTGACCGGGTTAAAACCATGATTTGACAATATACTGTCATGGACATGGAAATCCGGTCGGAGGTCAAGCAGCCCAACGCCCTGGCCATGCAGCCATGAGTAGGCATACGATCAACACGTGCACAGCATGCTGCATGCAATGTTTTGCATGCACTGAGGGCGCCGGCCCAGGTAATTTGATCGGATTACCGGACGGTCTAGGATAGGAGACTGACCCCCCAGTTCTTCTGCGACCGGCAGTGCTGTACTCTTTGTGCTAAGTAACGGTATACAGCAAAACTGCTCATAGATGCTAGGCGCACGGCAGTAGATCTCCTGCGCATTGTTAGCGCGCGCTACGCCGCACCTTTGCCAAAGCATCTCAACTGTTGGTGTGTGTGTGTGTGTGTGTGTGTGTGTGTGCGTTTGAGTGTTTGCGTTTGTACGCGCGCATGTGTGTGTGTGTGCGTGTGTGTGTGCGTGCGTGCGTGTGCATGTTTCTGTATTTATATCCATGCAGCTGCAAAGGAAACGATATCATGCACGAGGCCATGACGCTAGTCTACTATCTTCAAGCCGACCACCCAGGAGTTCATCTCGATTTCAGTGCCTACACCGGCGTGAGCGACTGGCTGAATCCGGCAAGGTCTGCTGTGCACAAGGAGGGCCTTGCACCCTGGTATGGTCAAAGACTGGGCTTGTCTTTCCAGGGTGAGCCGGTCACCGGGCGTGTGTTTCCAGGGTGAGCCGGTCACCGGGCGTGTGTTTCATGTGATGTTCACCTACACACCTATTAGCGGCTGTGCTGGAGCTGGTCAAGCACGAACACACAGATATGTGGTGGGCGATGACCCGAACACGAGCCGAATACAGTACATTTTCACTCTCGGTCCCGTGCACGGAACGGCGGTGGTTCGTGATCTCATGGACACGCTCTCCGTGAGATCTGGCGTGATGGGCGGGCGGCGGTTTGAATGAAGGCAACTCCAGCGATCATCTCCCTGGAGTATCAGATGTTGCCGTCAGCTTGTCCGTGCGTAACGCAAGCCAGGGAAGCCGGTTTGGAAATATCGCCACTCGCTTTTCAGGCACTGCACAGAAGTTCCCGACCACGATAGAGTTGGCTTTGGTTTGAGCAGGCATGAGGCAAGGTGTGGTGATCTACAGCACGTGCAATATGTACACAAATGTCGCTAACCCGCTGAAGCCATTGCTAGCGGACCAAAGAGGGTTCCTTCGGCCCGGGAAGAAGGACGTTCTTGGCGTTAAACGACTTGGGGTGTTCATTCAAACCCCCATCGATGACAGCATAATTGGAGATCACGTTCAGGTCAATCTCCTGGCGTATGGCGATGCATGGGAAGCGATGCCTTTACAAGTCTCGAAGACCTGCCCGCCATTTGACAGCAAGCACAAGCTGCAGCGGTGAAGTGTGCCAGCCGAGCCGTACAGTGCCTATAACACCAGCTGCCTCCGTGGATACCAGTTTGCGTCTGGTAGCCAGGCGGAAGTGCAATGCTCCTTAGGATAGAGCGCCGACATCCCACATTGCACAGGTTAGTACTTTGGCATAGGCTAGGGTGTAAGGTCCCGGATTCTCCGGGCCATTAGCTGCAAAAATGCAAATGCTGTCTCTTTCTCTCTCCGTCTCTCTCCCTCTTCCTCTCTCTCTCTCTCCCTCTCCCTCTCTCTCCCTCTCCTCCCTCTCTCTCTCTCTCTCCCTCTCCCTCTCTCTCTCCCTCCCCCTCTCCATCTCCAGCTCAATCTCCTCTCTCTCTTTCTCTATCTTTCTCTCTCTTTCTCTCTGTCTCTCTTTCTCTCCCTCCCTTCCTCCTTCTCTCTCACTCTCACCCTCTCTCTCACAGTATCACTCCAACCCTGGAGTCAAGGATCCATTCACTTGAAGACATCACTCTAACTCTGGGGATGAGGTTAGCTGACGTTCCATGATAGGTGTTCCCGTCAGTAAACAGGCAACAGAACACAGAACTGTACAGTCGTGGCGAAAGAAATCCGATCCATGTGCCGAAAGCAGCCACCAGGCTATGACGGCCCTCGGATCGGTTTTTGGAACGAACGAAATGTACAGTAAAACCTGTGGTGGCGACCCATGACTCGGATGAGGCGACCACCTTTCCCAGAAGACCACTCCAACCAGGACCAAGGGATGCTATGTCCAGTCAAATGACCCTGGATAAGCAGACCACCTGGTAACAGAAACCACGTTTCGATGGTCCCTTGAGCGGTCGTCTTAGACAGGTTTCAATATACTTGAAATGCAAACATGGCGCTACTTTAGACTTGGGGGGAGGGGGATTTATTTGGCTACGATTGTAGATTGCTTTCAGTACCGAGGCACTCTTGTAGTGACTATGCTGGAAGGCAATGAAATTTGTTGTCTCATTCCATTCTGTTAGCCATCCTGCTCTAGAAGGCATGCATTGAATGCTGCACACTGTTTAGCAAAATCATGAACAGTTCCATTTTTACGGGCACAACTCTTGTCGGCGATGACACATAGTAACATGCTGTGTGTGCGTGTGTGCGTGCATGCGTGTGCGTGCGTGCGTGCGTGTGCGTGCGTGCGTGCGTGTGTGTGTGTGTGCGCGCGTGCGCGCGCGTGTGTGTGTGTGTGTGTGTGTGTGCACACTCGCTCGCTTGTGTTTGTGTGTGTGCGCTCGCGTGTGGGAATGTGTATTCATGCATTTGCTTGTGTTTGTGTATGTACGTGTGTGTGAGTGTGCGTGCACGTGTGTTTGTGGGTGTGTGTGTGTGTGTGTGTGTGTGTGTGTGTGTGTGTGCATATGCCTTTACATGTCCTACAGACTGCGTATTTAAAATTTGCCTAAACAACGAGGGATGCGACAGCAGGGAAAACCCCAGGAACACCCAGTGCAAGAGCAGAGCACCCTATCAGCGCTCTCCTCATCCTTTATAGCTGTCAAGTAGTCAGTAAGTACTTTTTTTTTATTTCATTTCATTTCACCGTCCAAAGGCCGAAGCCAATGCAAAGGAGGGGGCGTTAGCCAGCCATGGCAAGAGAAGGAAAAAGAAAGAAAGAAGGAAAGAACATAATAATCGGAAAGGAAGAACGCATCAGCGATGACACATGGTAACATGCTGTGTGTGCGTGCATGCGTGTGCGTGCGTGCATGCGTGTGCGTGCGTGTGTGTGTGTGCGCGTGCGCGCGCGCGTGTGTGTGTGTGTGTGTGTGTGTGCACACTCGCTCGCTTGTGTTTGTGTGTGTGCGCTCGCGTGTGGGAATGTGTATTCATGCATTTGCTTGTGTTTGTGTATGTACGTGTGTGTGAGTGTGCGTGCACGTGTGTTTGTGGGTGTGTGTGTGTGTGTGTGTGTGTGTGTGTGCATATGCCTTTACATGTCCTACAGACTGCGTATTTAAAATTTGCCTAAACAACGAGGGATGCGACAGCAGGGAAAACCCCAGGAACACCCAGTGCAAGAGCAGAGCACCCTATCAGCGCTCTCCTCATCCTTTATAGCTGTCAAGTAGTCAGTAAGTACTTTTTTTTTATTTCATTTCATTTCACCGTCCAATGGCCGAAGCCAATGCAAAGGAGGGGGCGTTAGCCAGCCATGGCAAGAGAAGGAAAAAGAAAGAATGAAGGAAAGAACATAATAATCGGAAAGAAAGAACGCATCAGCGGGGTGAAAATTATCACTATGTTGACCATGGTGAATAGCGGTGATGCGTGTGTTGAGAATCTCCCCGACACCGTGTAGGGTGCAGCGGACAATGCCGGTATTATACCGTGTTTTGCCGGTTACGTAAGTCGACATTTTACGACTAAAATCGAAAGGAGAAAAGGTGGGGGTCGACTTACAACCGGGATTGTATTTATAACCGGGAACTACTGATAACTTCCAAAATGGCCTGCGCTGCATACACGAGTGCGCTGCAGCCCATAACCCGGGGTCGACTTATAACCGGTAAAATACGGAATTCGGCATTATGAGACTATCCGAGCCTCAGAGCATTATGGAGAATTAAATTGACACAAAACGAGCATTATGTGAGGTCTCAGCGGCATTGCGAGTTGAACAGGGATAATATCGGGAAATCCCTGGGTTTTCGCAACTATCGGCTACATACAGTCATGCAGAGTCGGCAGAGATGAAAATAGAATGTCTGGCTTCAGTGCACCAAAGACAAACTGGCAAAAGACAATAATTATCGTATTCAAGTCTGTGTCGACAGTTTGTACGCGCTTGAGGATGATATCTACGCTCGAGCCAGAAGATATGATGCATCTCGATGCACACCACTCTTGCAGTGTCAAGTGAGTTGAGGACAAAGACTGCATAGAACCGACGGCCTACGGATACATACCAGGGTTGAGCAGTAAGCCAAGATCTTGACAAATGGACTGGTGGAGGGCTGACAACGTGGATGTAAAAGCAGCCATGCCATTTTGGTATGATGTTGCAAGACACATTGTGCAGAGATTGTGCAATGCCTTGACTAGCTGCACAGCATGGTGATCACACTCCTCATCATTGTAGCTTGTCTACTTCACATAGCGCTCCAAATGACGTTCTAGTGTGACGGGAATACTGACAAGATCACCACAACTGAAGTGCCGGCCACCACTGCAGTGACTGATGACGTCATGCGCAAGCCATACTTGACCAAACTTCTTTCCTCGTCGCTTTTCCAGCTTTTGCGACTGGGGAGCGTAAGTAGTGGCCGTAGAAAAGTGTCACACTGGAGGGTAGAGAGTTGTTGATGGGATATTGCTGAATGAGCAGAGCACATAGGAGTGGGGATTGTCGAATGGCTTCCCTCCGCAGACAGTTGGTCGGTTGCGAGAGCTCTGCCATGCACTGCTTGGCAACCTCCTCTCCGAGCTGTTGTGAGCAGTACGCAAAGAGCTGGTCCGCCGAGAAGTCGGAAACGTAAGCGGAAATGCTGGATGTGCTGATACGCTTCAGCACACGGTCGGCTAATTGCGATTACGATAGCACCAGGTAGCAGTGAATATTAACTGCTGATGCTCCTCAATATTACAGCTTGGCCTGCTGATTCGCTTCAAAATGCATCACTGCTAAGTTTGTCGATGCCATCAATAACGATCAATATCTGGTTGAAATACCCACACAGGTGGTTTAGCAAGGTTTATTGCTCCTGTGTACTGATGCGCAAATGGTCCAATTCCAAAAAACACACCAATCTCCCGACTGTACACGTTTGACATCACGACATGGCACGTAGAAAATGAACTCAACCTTTGCTAGATGCCCAGTCGTTGTCTCCATGACGTCGGCGATGATTCGTTTGCTCAGTGCTGTCTTTCCCTGCCCAGCGTCGCCAACTACAATGCAACTTTCCAGAATGTCTGGGAATTTTTCATAGAGTGGAAGCAGTGACAGCTCGTCTGTAGGCAGGAATATCACTTGCCATTATAGGCTTCCAGCATCCCAATGATCACCGGCGATAATGGTTTTCACATGTTGCCACCTGGATAATGAGGGGAAAAGATTTGATACTCCCAATATTCTGCCACAGTCTTGCATCAAGTTAGTTACAATGGAGAGCAGCCACCGGAGAAGCGATCATGTCTTATAGCACAAACAGGCGGTGGAGCTGGTGAAAGATGTTACGGCAGCTTCATAGGTAGATTGACTATGTGCATTTTCTTCATTGAAGTTGGACGATTTGCAGCCACTCTCCTTTTTGTCTCAAACCAAGAGCATTATAGCTAGCCTTTCTGAACCAAGAGCATTATAGCTAGCCTTTCTGAACCATTAAATCAGCATTACAAGGTAGTTGTAGGAGCATTATGCTTTGCATCATAAAAACATTTTCGGAGCATTATCCACTGTTCCCTACCACACACGACTTGCATTTCCCACCACATGCATTCCCCGGAACAGAGTTCGCGTACAACTTTCTATGGGATTTGCCGACGGCGAAAACTCACATCATGTGATGTAGTGTTTCCACTGTATCTTCTCGTCCAGTTCTTCACCGACAAATGGAGTTGAAAAATAATGGCACTCCTGACAGAAACTCACTCAGATGTATGCAAGCCATCAATATGATCATGGCAGATATTCGGACTGAGCCCATGCTAGCCTTCGTAGTACACCGTGGGGATTCGTACTGTGAACATGTGATATGAGTCATCGGACACCCTGTACACATATACACAGTTGCACACTCTTGCGAGCTTATTTCCTCTTGCCGCTGGCCCGCGAGACTATTATCTCACTTAGGGGGTGAGCCTTGATCCTTGAGGGTGGTAGCGCTCCTGCGGATGCGGAAAATTGGCCTGCAGCAGCCGAGTCTCACGCAACACCGTTATGTTTTGTTTAGGGGCTGAGCTTTTCTCCTCCTGTTTCATTTTTCTGCCATGGCTGGATAGCTATCTCATATTTTGGTTTGCTCCCCATTTCAGTGTTACTTGCCTATGCTATGCCATTGAGCAGAATACATAATAAACACACGCGTACACTCATGTCTCGTTTCCAAGTGGTCCAGGACCAGGCCCTGCCCTTAACTTCGAAATGTCCTTAACTCCGAATCACATACATTCTGATGGGGAAGGGCCATAGATATGGCATAATATGATATGACATCACTAATTCCACAAAACATGAAAGATGAGCAGTATTAAAAATAAATAATAATAATAATAGTTACAGTTCGCATGTCACTCATGGAAGGATCCATGGGCTTAACGCATCTGTCAACGAAATCCAGGCAGAAAAGCCGACAAAAGGCATCTCATTATTGTTAGAACGTACCGCAGTAAGAACAACTACGCAAGCGTAGCACATTTTTCCACAAGCATCAGCCATTTTTTCTTGTCTAGAGCCAGTTCAAAACAGTCGGAAATATCAATATTGGCGTGCTTTAGACCATTTATAATATTGTCAATCCATCTGAGATGGGGTCGAGTAGTAATATTTCCACTTAAACTCGCCCAAAGGGTGCCCGGTAGACCGAAGTGCCCGTAACTTCAGGGTCCGGATAACCGAGGTATGAGTGTAGATAAATAGACAAGACCAAACATAACCAAGAGTACATAACCAAGAGTGTGCAACTCGACGATCCCCCAGCTCACGGCGGAGATTTTTTTATTACATCAGTCTTTGGCGGCGGTTTGGCGCACTGATGCCATCATGCGTAGCCAGAGATCAAAGTACAAATAATTTTGTACTTTGCAGCTACAGTAGTAGAAGCAGAACAACGAACGATAGATCGATTTGTCTTGAACCTGATGAACTCTCACCGTAGCTACAAAACAAGCTCGGGGAAAGCATACACACTTCATCATACTTCTGCCAAAGAATGACGCGAATGACGCAATGAAAAAATTCCGCCGTGGGTGAACCCGTCGCAGCTCAAGATAGGAGTTGCACACTCTTGGTTATGTACTCTTGATAAGACCCATCTGTGAAACTTGTCTGTGTGTGTCTGTGTGCGTTCCTTGTAATGCTTTGCCCACGGGATACACGCTTGCACCTTTTCCCCATATCTGTCTATGTGCATGGACCACCACGCACACATTCGTTCCTGTCGTTTTAACTCCTTTCCCTTGGTCTGTTTCCACTACAGGGTACTACGAGCAGAAATGTCCAAACAACGTGTTCGTAGCGCTGCAGCCCAAGATCTGGACCGGGCTACGTGACAATGTCGCTGCCAATGCTTGTCAAAAGTGGGGTACGGTTTCCGCCTGCGTGAGAGATTACCAGCGCGGGCTGCAGTCCCTGTCACAGATCGGTAACGATGCACCCGTCTGGGTGAGAAGCAGTCCGGGAGACATTGAGATGGAGTTCCCGGTAGCACCCCGAGCACTCAGGCGCACGTATTCTGCAAAGGTGAGTGTGTTTCTGTCCGTGTGTGTGTGGGGGGGGGGGGGGGGGGTGTTCTGTGTGTGTGTCTACGTGCGTGTGTTGTGTGGGTGCTCACGTGTCACTAGTGTGTGCTTGTGTGTGTGCGGACATGTCGGCATTCACCGTGGCTGTGTTGGCGGCGTTTGCATTCGCCTTGCACACACTATGATCATGACGCCGTCCCGCTAATCTGCACATCGTGGGTCTAACATGCCTTTCTTCTTGACGGCGCACGCGAGTAACAATGAATCTGAGACCCTTCGGCGGAGGAGTTACTCCTACCCCGCCTCCACTTTCATCCAATATGCCACAATCCCCGCTGTGCAGCATCTGATGGTTCTGTGGTATTCAGAAAAATAATCAGTCATGTATCAATGATCACACAGCAATGACGCAACCAATTCTTTTTCCGCCATTACTCAGAGTTTCGTGTGAAACACTCATCACACAGCATACATATGCTGTGTGATGAGTGTTTTCACATGAAACGGCGGGAAAAGATTTGGTTTCGTCATTGCTGTGTGATCATTATATTGCTGGCTCTGTCCACTGGACGTAGAGCAGCATACACAGCCTGGGGACCTTAGACAACTGTCATGGTATGAAGGTGTATGCCGTCACACAAGAAAAGTTCCCACCGCACCAGGTACAAGGGAATTTCCCACTGCTCCAGGTACAAGGGAAGTTCCCACCGCACCAGGTACAAGGGAAGTTCCCACCGCACCAGGTGCATAGTCCAGCATCGAGTCAATGACAGGAGTAACCGTTAGAGTCTAGTCTGTGAAACACAGGACTGGTGGAAGCAGGTGGAGCACCCCTCCCCCCCCCCCCCCCCCCCCGCCCAATGGGTCCGCCCCTGTGGCTTGTGGTAGATGTAAAAACCACTTCATTCCATTCTTTGTTTACTACTCAGCGAAGTGACTCGGAAGTAGCGACAAACTCGGCCATCGGAAAATAATCTGAACCGTCCACCTCTCCATGTGATTGCGCTCTTGGCCCACTCTTGGCTCAGTTATGTACTCTAACTGTTGATCGTCACAAGAAAACGTTCTCAACAAATTGTTCCTTGATGGTGTATACATGTGTGATTATTTAGAATGACCGCGCAGCTTGTCTCCTGTGTTATTTCTTCTGCACAGTTCCCTATGTCAAGAAATGCGCTGGAAACGAGACTGCGTGGCTGTCGCAGATGTCATTACCGCCGCGCACCAACAGCTATCGACTGGCGGAAGCCGGCTGCGGAAGGGCCAAGCCTAGCTTCATCTCCGCACAGAATCGCTGCTTCACGTACTTCATGAACACGCTCCTGTCATGCCTGGAGTGGTGATGCCCGACGTCAACTTCTACAGCATATCCTGACCACTCACGTTCGACGGCACCAAGCCTATGTGCCATGCCCAGTACGGATCAACCTACGTCATTCCAGTCTGTCAACGTAAGAATGAACTCAAGATGGCGGACCAAGAGTGCATAAAAACCAGAGTCTGAAGCTGGGGGCTTTCCTACTATGGGTGTCTGTCACGGCGGACTTACGTCATTACATCATATTTGGTGGAGGTGAGGCGGAAAGTGGCGTAGTGCGTACAACTGAGCTGCAGTTGTGCAGAAAGAGACCTGCTTGAATCCTGCTTGTACGCACTACATCACTACAATGATATAATCACGGAACTTCGCCATGACAGCAACCCATCAGAGTTGCACATTCTTTGGGGGGGGGGGGGGGGGGGGGGGTAGGTACTCTTCGTTAGACCAAGAGTAGATAAGCAAGAGTGTGCAACTCCGGGATGGGTTGGCCCGCGGCGGAATTTTTTGTTGACGTAATCTTTTCGACGACGCACCCGCTGCAAGTTCTTTGGAAAGTTTTGCCTAGTGCACTCGGCCGGGCTTTACATTACAAGGTCGGTACCGAGCACGTGCTCTCACACTGCTCTGGGGCGAAATGCGCGTTCTTCTGAAAAAAGGTGACGTCAACAAAAATTTCCGCCACGGGCGGGGGTATCTGCAGATTGTGCAGAAGAGATCCGGAGTTGTACACTCTTGTTTATCTACTCTTCGTTAGACTGATAAGCTTTTCTAAACACTCACAGACTCCACTGCAGCCATTTACACATTAGGATTTCTCAACTCAAAACATTTCAAAAGCAGTCTCTTTCCTTCATCTGACTATCATCAGAAATTGTCATCACAAATCAAAGGACATAATATTATTGTTGCATTTGTGTCGTGGTATGAGTGCACTCACTCTATTTCCGTCGATATTAGGTTTCTTGTCTCCACACTGCCTTTGTAAATATTGTCACCCCTGTGTCGCCCCACACTTCATGCTTGCTAGGTCTCCTCACCCTTGCACCCTTTTCCCCATGTCTGTCAATGTTCATGGGTCACGCATTCGCTGCTGTTGTTTTAGCTATCTTCTTCCTTGCGCTGTTTCTATCACCTCTCTAGTGTACTCAATTTACTATCCTTGTTCATTTGACTTCACTGTGTGTGTGTGTGTGTGTGTGTGTGTGTGTGTGTGTTTGTGTGTTTTGTGCGTGTGTATTTTTGTGTGTGTGTGTGTGTGTGTGTGTGTGTGTTTTGTGTGTGTGTGTGTGTGTGTGTTTTGTGTGTTTTGTGTGTGTGTGTGTGTGTGTTTTGTGTGTGTGTGTGTGTGTTTTGTGTGTGTGTGTGTATGTGTGTATGTTGTGTTTAGGTGTCGACGAATGTTTGTTGGGCACTAACACGTGCAATGGGACGGGTGAGAACTGCAAGAAGACGAGAGGTGCATTCACCTGCTACTGCAAGGCTGGATTCAAGCGCTCCGCACCGGATCAACTCTGCATGGGTTAGTACCAACTGGTGCCGGTGACTAATATTCACTGTGCAGGAACGTCCCGAAGCACACTACGGTCACCACCGTACTGACCGTACCACTATTTGTCCCAGACATGCGGGTAGCTCTACTCTAGGAATCAACAAACGGCACTGATGTGTGCTCTAAATTCCGAAAATGTTCAGAGGCCCCACCCAACTCCACGAGTAACTGATTGTACTTCACCGAGTACTGTACCACCTTAAAATAGCTTCCAACACCCCTGCTATGATTAGTGTATTTCTCGCTCCACATAATTATACTGGCACACACACAGACATAGACAGCAATAGCGACAATACACAAAGTGAAGGGTAATTGGCCGCAACCGGATGTGAACCGGATAACGAGTGACGTATGGAAGCAAGGGCTGAGAACAGAGTGTCTCAGATAGAATAGGCGGGCCAGTGGATAGCAGAAATAGGCCATGATGCAGAACCACTTGGGACCGTCATTAATTTTCCTTGACCGAGCCAGTCGATTTATGGCATCATTTTCGTTACAACATCCAACGATAGTGACTTAAAAATCTGGCCAGGTTGTGCAAAATTAGGACAGGTATATCAAAGCCAAAGGCGAGAACCAAAGTGTGCATTCTTGGTTGAACGTCTGTGCCAACAATCCAGCTGCGTGTGTTTCCCGTGTTTCTACCTCTGTGTGTTGTCTATGCAATTGGTTACACAGCGGCTGCCATGGTGAGGCCAGCGTCCGCGAATCAAGGGCATATTCACACACCGCTTCCGAAGGAGCTTTGTTAGTGCTGTGCCATACTCTTTCTCTCGCTTGTGCCATTCTCTTTCACTCGCTCTCTCTCTCCTATATTAGGCCGAACGCAGCTAGTTGATAGTGACCATCAACTGTATGCTTTTTATATTGCCCCCCCCCCCCCCCCCTACTGCTGGTCAGTTTGCGTACACAGTGCACACTGCACAGTGCGACTGTGACATCATTGCCTTCAGCTGGTACATCATTGCTGAACAGCAGCCCAAGCACAGCACCATCCCCACCAGCTTGAGCTGAATCTCTCGCCACGAGCTCCTGATTACCTCCTGCGCTCTTTCCCCATACTGCATCGTGCCAGTGTGGAATAGACTGCCACAGGAAATTCTGGACAAGCAGCCAGCCCGGAAACACCTGCAGAGCTTCAAGATTGCTGCATACCGTCACCTGCAACAGAGTGACTGGTGCTCTGCTCATGACTGGTGCTAGCCTTGCACATGTATCACACTGGCCTGCCATCAGTGGACGCAAATCATTATGTTGACCCTCTTCTAAAAGTAGCATTATAGTCATAGCGACAATATGCCGCTGAACTCTTTCTCTCTCTATACATATATCTCTCCACCTCTTTCACTCTCTTTCCCTCACTTACCCATCTCTCTCTTTCTTGTGCACTCTCTCCCTCTCTCTCGCTCTCTCCCACTCTCTCTCTCTCCGCCATTCCTCTCGCCCCCCCCCCCCCTCTCTCATGGTGCTTGCTGTGTACGCCGATCCCGAAACCCTTGGTCGGGGAGTCTACTGCATCTCACCAGCGCAGCTCATGTAGCGCCTACACACCCATTGTTGTCTTTTTTGTTTCGTCTTCGTTTTGTCTCCCCTTCTTCCGTAGGTATGTGCATAAAGAAAATTCTGAGTGTGCGTGCATATGTGTGTGTGTGGGGGGGGGGGGGGGGTGCGTGCGTGCGTGCGTGTGTGTGTGTGTGTGTGTGTGTGTGTGTGTGTGTGTGTGTGTGTGTGTGTGTGTGTGTGTGTGTGTTCTTGTGCCTGTGTGTATGGGACACATTTTATATTCCGCACGTTAGAGTGAGGTTTCCAAGGGGTATGCACAGAGAGTTCAATAACCCAGGGATGGGGGGGGGGGGGGGCAGAGAGTTCAATAACCCAGAGATGGGGGGGGGGGCAGAGAATTCAATAACCTAGGGATGGGGGGCGGGGCAGAGAGTTCAATAACCCAGGGATGGGGGGGGGGGAGGGCAGAGAGATCGGAACAACGCAGCAACTGATGGAATGCGAAGGTACCAAGTAGGGCCCAGTGTAATATGCCCGAAACTTTGCCGAAAATGCTTGTGGGAAATTCTCGTAAACCTTGCCGAAAATGCTCGGAAAATGCTCACTTTTTTTAATCCTCAGCACACGCCGTCAAAAGACTTAAAACCAGGGAGTCAGAAAATACCGGTATTTTACGACTCCCTGGTCAAAACCATTTTTTCAATTCATAAACTACTCAACAAGAAGCTAACCCACGGAATGTGGAAGTGACGCTCTTGTTTGGGAAGTTTTTCTTCTCTCAATTTTGATACACAACGGCCAAGTGCTCCGTTTCCCCCAAAATGCTGCATCACGAGCCCAAAGTGCTGGGTTCGCGGATTGTACCGAAAATGCTCCAAAAATGCCGGCATATTACACGGGGGCCTAGTACCAAGTAGCTTGTCACTAGAGAATTCGTCTACAAATTGTTGGCACGTTTTATATCTCTGCCTCCCAGCCCAGGGCTAGGTACATTGTAAAGGTCATTTCAGCCACAACAACATTTAGGCCAAAAATGCCCAGGCCGAAAAAAAGCCAAAAATAAAATTAAAATTGTAACATGGAAATTGTGGGCACAACCTTGGCTCACCATCTGAGTTCCTAAAATTCAAACCCGGATGTTGAGCCAATGTAAGGGGCCGTCCGTAAATACATGTATTTACTTAGAGACGTCTAACAGGCGTTTGTGGTGGGTGGGTTTGCCTGCAAGGCGTTTCTAAAAAATACATTTCGGAGTGTCTGCATATCATACCGCACGTGTACATGTACATGATGTAGCACTGCTACAGCTAGTACAGGTAGGCGTTGAGACACACTGCACTGCATTGCACTGCATTGCACTGCACTACACTGCACTGCACTACACTGCACTGCACTGCACTGCTCTGCTCTGCACTGCCCTGCACTGCACTGCACTGCACTGCACTGCACTGCACTACACTACACTGCACTACACTGCACTGCACTGCACTGCACTGCACTGCACTGCACTGCACTGCACTGCACTGCACTGCACTGCACTGCACTGCACTGCACTACACTGCACTGCACTACACTGCACTGCACTACACTGCACTGCACTACACTACACTGCACTGCACTGCACTGCACTACACTGCACTGCACTACACTACACTGCACTGCACTGCACTACACTGCACTGCACTGCACGCGTCACCGCAGAGTAGACAGAGACACATACTCTGTACTCCCAGAAACATGAGCTTGCATGCAGTGACAGCCAGGTACCAGCAGACTTGTAGGTAGGATCCTTGGTAACGTTGGTTTCAGGTTCAGGTGTGGCACATGACAGTATGAGTGCACTTGGTTTACATGCGGTCCTATAAGATTTGGTTCGTTCTAAGCGAAAACTGTTTACTATAAAGGGTCAATTTTGTATGGGTTCAAGCAGGGACATGGACAAGGGTTCGCTATAATTATCGTGAAATTCGCTATATGCGAGTTTGTTTCAAGTGGAGTCGACTGTATTGTATATGTGTGCATAGTATGATGTTTATTATGAGTGGTATTATCTGCATTTTTTTTGGGGGGGGGGCGTTTCTGGGGATGGGCGGGTCAAGAAAGAAAAGCCTGTTAGATGTCTATACGTAAATAGATATAATGTACCGTAAAGTACCGCCAGAGCGCCCCACCGTCTCGTCCTTTCGTGGTCGTCTTGTGGAAGTGGTTTCCGGTATAGGTCATATGGCACAGACGTTGTAGAGGAGACGGTTTCAAATAGGAGATATGTCGCAAACCGGAACGGATTCAATATTCACTTTCTCCCTTGGTATTTTGGTTAGAAAACATATGTCACAGTGAGACTACGATGTGTTTTACTCCGAGCCAAAATTTCATCGCTCTGCGATGACCAGAAGCGCCATACCAAGCAGGTGAGTTTTTGACGTGTTGCTTCGCAGTGCGACTTGAGTTTTACGTCTTTCGAAAAATCAACTTCTTGCCCTGCGGCTCGCCTCTCACCAATAAAGCACCTTACACCATTGAAAACTAATGGAAGCACACACAAGGCTTATTATTACTCTGCATTGGCCGTCGTGGAGCGATAACAATTACCTAATTTCAGACTATAGTGAATTTGATATGCACTCTGTAAAACCTTTCCGGTTTGGAGCCACCTCTGATTTGAAGCGAAAAATTGGGCAACTTGGAGGCAATGGGCCAACACAAAGGAGTGGCTCAGCTCGATTGACTCTGGCCTCAGAGCAAACTTCAACATGCAAGTTTCCTTCCACAAACGTAATTCGAGTGAACAATCCACGCTGATGATCCGTTTGGGTCTATACAACTTAGCTGTCAAGCCGTTCCGGTTTCGAACCGTCCCCTCTACATACATTGCACGTTGTGCAGTCGATCCGTACCCAGTCTACCTTCGAACAAATGCGAAATCCACATAAAACCTGCCAAGTGTGACCTTAGTGCACTATTAAAGGTTCTGACACTGTACAAACCTCGTTGCACTCTGCCATAGTATTTTCTTCCCTTGCCTGTAAAATCAAGGTGGGGCGCTCTCACGAGACGGGGCGCTCTGGCGATACTTTACGGTATTTACGGACGGCCCTTAATCACGAATAAATACAGGAAGGATACAATGTTACGAGTTATGAACAACTGTCCACCAACAGGGGCGTCGGAAGGTATTTTAGTGCGGTACGGTCAGCCATCTGAAGGCCAATTTACTCGAGGGGGAGGGGTTGCTGAGCTGACATTTTGGAAATCTAGAGACCGAATGATGGTGTATTTTATTGATTCACGGGGTACCTGTGGGCAAAATGTGGTACGGCCAATACCGTAGTGAGTCTACTAGTGACCGTACTGTGTGCGACGCCCCTGCTACATATAATAATTATAATACTTCAAGAAATTATCTGGTTAAATTGGTCCAATGTAACCAGATAATTATATGAATATAATTCAAGCAAGTGCGACAACAATGTCATGGGCACAAAACTGACAAGGGGTGCTGAGACATTCAATGAAAATTCGCCGATTATTAGTTGACGTACAGCTGTCTTCAAAATTCGAATATAGGCCCAGGGCTAAAAAACGAACCATTATTAGAGAGGTTTCGACCCGCGTGATTTGTGCTCTTACGTGAACGTCAATTTTTTGCGTCGACGCGAGCTCAGAAAGAGCTTTCGTTTCACGTTGCTTGTGAAGCACGTCGTGTCGCTGACGACAGGAGCAAAAACTGGGAGCGAAAACTTCAAAAAGTGAAGAAAGTGATTTTTGGTGAGGCCGAAGTCGCACAAATATTATTTTATAGCTAGTTTAGGCAAAATCGACATCCCAACCTGATAGCAAGGCTAAATTTGCAAAAACTCGCGTTCACGTCGAACGTGAGTTGACCTCAGCTCACGTCATGAACGGGAGTTTCGACGCCAAAATTTGCCACACCAACGTGAAATTTCACGGTGTAGTGCAGAACAACGTGAAGCGAAACCTCTCTATTACTGACTTTTTCCCGGAAAATGCACTATTTCGTGTATTAGCCCATGGGCTTATATGCGCGGAACTACGGTACAGCACACACTGGAGAATAATGGGATTACAAGCCACAAGAACACACAGGCTACGCAGACAGCGAGTAAATCAAACAAACTATTGCTCACTCACCTCGTATGCACTGTACATGCCGGCGCTCCCTTGCGTCGTGTGTCTGGTAGTCCGCGTGTCCCTTGTCCGCTATTGCTCACCTCCTCGCGCTCTCTCCGCTTGGCGCCTGTGACGACACCAGTGTATCCTATCCATCACGCAGGCTGACTTTGGACGTCACATCCGTTGCGGGTCGTGTCTTTGCTGCCGGCCGCCGTCCATGCCCTCTGCCCGTTCCCGTCGACGACTCGTCGCTCTCCGTAGGGAAAGCTACACTCTTCCCGGGTCCAGAATAGGTATTTGTACGAGTATTGCTTCTATCTCTGTCTTTTCCTTGCAATAGTCCGCCACTAGCTTGGAAAATTCCGCTATAGTTATCATTAACACTAAGTCCTTTACATTATCCCACCGCTAGCCTCCCAATGAGAGAACGCCACTGGAAAACTCGCAGAGCTGCTGCACTGAATTCCCAGAGCAAAGAGTAAAGATAACTCTAGTGCAATGTAAATGTTTGTAACGTTACGAGGACAACACCGTGAAGAAGGAACTCTTCGAATACAGTGTAATCCTAAAGAGAACACACTTCGGACAGTAAGTTTTCGCCAGCATGATATTCAAGCATTATCGTCAGGTGAAGTACTGACAAAATAAAATCAGGCTACAGCTATAGCAGCAACGTTACGTGTACATTCGCAAAGCTGTGGTTCTCCCAGCTTCGCGCCAAAGCAAGTGCGAAGCGCGAGCAGTCTTGCAACACATGGCCATAACAATACAATATTGACCATGGACAGTGCGAAGAGTACACAACTGCTTATACTAGAAGCAGGGTTATAAGTTGCTGGCATATTTACGTCATCCCGCATAAAAACAAGGAAGGCAAAGGAAAACAGAGCCCACTTTTTTTCTTCTATTATAGATTACAGTACAAGAAACTAACTCTCCTCCTTCATGCGCTCTAAAGCCGACCATT